GGGGGAGGGGGGCTACTTCCAAGTAATAGGCTTTTTGGGATGTGCTGCCGGACGGGGTCGCATTTTCATGATCACGAATGGATTGACTTTAATGAGCTTACATTTTCAATAGAGTCACTAGAACGGGACCGCACATTTTCGGGACTTAGTGGGGTGGGGGGGGGAAGAGAACTTCTGGTAGGTAGGGAAGATGGTTAAAAAGTTGCTACCGTATTAAAAAGGGGCGAAGATGGGGTCTATAATCAGCCAAAGAATCATGGACCATAGTGGGATAGTGGTCCTGAGTGGCCAGCAACACATGCTCAGCAAAAATTGACCCAAGTTACCCCCTCCCCTCGAAGCCCAAGCCACCTGAGCTTTACACTCAGCGTGGAAAAAGCCTTGTAAGGAGACACTTAAAAGTGATTCATTGTCAACTACGGGTTCATATGTGATAAAAATATTCTGTTAAATTTCTTTTGAGTCTTAGTGCTTGTAACCTTAAAAACCCTTTTCCTATTTCCGTATATATGTGAAGGTTGACTTCTCCTTTAGAAGGTAATCTACTTCTGTCGAAAAATAAATTTTTTTTCCAAATCAGTAACCTTCCTGATACTGCTCATCTAAATGCTTATTTGGTTATGGCGTTACTTGAACAATGTTACAAAAAAACTTTTCTATCATAAATGAAGCTTTATACATGGAGTTTTCTTCCTCATCGCAAAACAGGGATTTCGACTTTAAATCTGCAAATAAGAAACATAAAAATACAAAATTAACGGAGAAATTGAAGGAATTTTGAAATGAAATCGTCAGATATTAGATTGGGAGGTATGGAAGCTTGTTTTGCAATAGAGAAACCTCACAATGACCCACAGCAAAGTGAGCGAAGTGATAACGCAGAGGAATAACGGATATGACACAGGATAAGACAATTTTTTAACAAAGTCACCACTGCTGTGATCCATTTAATCTCATGATCATGTCTCTATTGAGAGTTGAGTTGCACTTCTGGTAAACTTACCAGCGCAAATTGGGTTTTGGAAGGTATTCCATTTTGTTGTTCAATCCTCCTCATGGTTTCTTCATCAGGCTTAAGCAGGTTCAAGAATCTCTAAAACAATACAAGACTGTGAGAGAATCGAAAGCACTGCTCTTTTGCCAAAGAGAACCTCAGTGAATTGCAATTACCAGATTACTATAAGCTAACCCGGTTTTAACGTCCTAAAAATTATGCTTTTTAAAGTGAGAAAGCAAAACTCCTGTTCAGTGGACACTCTCCAACTAGTATTTGAATTGAAAGTGGAAATATAATTAATCCCCTCCGTTAACATAAAAATAAGGGCCTTAAGCAGTCAGGACGGCAACGCCAAGGAAGAATTCAATTAAAAAATGAATTTCTACTCTTAGTTAGAATTTCAAAAATGGCTGCATGAGCTTACTGTCTCATACGGCGCC